GGGTCATTTTTTTATAATATGAATAGTATATTCTGGAAAACGAGTTGAGCGAATTATTTGAAAATTTGCAAACAAGTTATTGGTTCAGACTTACACCAATTGGAACTTAAACCTCTAAAAGAATATTTTCCTGTCCCGTTGTGTCAAAACACCTTAGTAGAGTCCCGTTAAAATTCGCATCCTGTAATGAACATAGCATGTAACCTTAAATATAATATAATCGATTTTTTCTTATTGGTCGAATCCGAACATTTATTGTACTAGAAGAAGAACATTAATCGAAGCACAAGGTACAAATGAAAAAACAAATTAATGATCATTCTTTATAATTTTATACTTCCTTATCTATAAAATTCTTCTATAAAGCTATATCTTATGTAATAATTTTATAAAATTAAAAAACGGTAAAATAATGACGCTTTCATCACCTTATTGTCGATTATCGAAAAAGTTGTAATAAATTTATTTGTATTTAACACACATGATAACTGTGATAATCCAGAACAAAATATCATACTGCCAATTGAAGCGGGATTTAACCATTAAGTAATGGTTTCGTGCATGCACAATTCGCTTTAAAACTGAATTGGTTTGAATATATCAACAAAACAAACCAAAAGAGTTGTATGTATATTTAGCATATCGATTCCTTAATGTAAATCTTTTTTATAGAATTTGATATATAAATATATTGATATTGTAGAAAGAATGTTTAAAGACTTTTTATAGCTAAAATGTCTTACGGTTGCCTGCCAGAGTACCCTACCTTTATAGGGATTGTGCTCCGTGGACATTCCTTTCCCTTGTTTTAGCAGAAATAAGTTATTAATAACTGATACCTACAACCAGAGTGATGATTTTTAATCAATGCAGGAGGTCCGTGCTTTTCCTGTTTACGAGACAGTAGAAATCAAATATCCTGTATTACAATGTGAATAGTCTCAAAGTAACTTTTAAGCTATATGTTTTGACAAAATATTTATTTTCTCAATCTCATTTATACATTTATCTAAATGGTTGTTAAGGTTTCCTTTTAGACCATTTTTAGAAATAATTAAATTTGTAATATAGATCACACAAACATTTGCTCAAATCAGATGTGAAAGTCAAAATTAAAGGTAAGCTGATAAAATAATCCTACAAATTCAAACTTTACATACTCGTACATATGAAAGAAGTGACAGCCTTTTCTTTTAAAATTGTAATAAAGTTAAGACTTTTTTCATTAAAACACTGTAACGACTGCAGTTAGAATTATACTTGCAGCGTACTATGCGTTGCCATTATAGAATGAAAGAAATTGTAAATAAACTAAACAGCGAAGATAACAGAAGTATTTAAAAGGACTCCACTGAGTGTTTTTGACATGAAGGGACTGAAAATATTTTTATACTATTAACGCAGGTCTATACGCAAAATAGATAATCAAAATTGGAAATATGTTATTATTTAAAAAAAATTAAAAAAAAACCCATCATAGTCTATACAAATATGATACACCCGGTTTTATTCATATTCATACACTGATTTATCATTATCATTTGTTAGCCTTTTCCGTGTTTTATCGTATTTTTAATTAATAACACTTATCAAACTAGCAATTTCATTCTGAATATATATTTTATTAATATCTTTTTCACACTGCCATTTTTTGCAAAATTTGAGGTCATATGCATAATAACAAAAAGAGAAAATGGAAAGTTTTTTCTGATGGTATATACCAGGGTGTATTTTACGGCTGTAGTATACCACAAAGCTATTTTCAAGCAGGAATAACAAAGCTTCTACACAATGTCTTTTTTTTATATAAAATATGCCACAAATCAATTACAACAAGAATAAGACAACAATTATACAGTACTAAAAATTCGTAAAAAAAATGATTTTGAAATGTTATTTGGACGTGTTGTTTTTAATATCCTAGTCAAGCCACTCTGGTAACTTATGCATGTAACCATTTCTGCTTGGCTATCATGTACATATCTAGAGTCAGAAACAACAATTGATAATAATTTTGACAACTTATCTGAAATTGAGAAAATGAATACGTTTTTGTTAATCAATGTATGACTAATTTTACAACCAAAGCCTTCTTCAATATTTTAGAATATGGACGTCTTCTACTTTATTGTCAGTAACTCTTTTTTCAAGGTATTTTATGTCAGATAGTGTTGTGAATTTTATAGCTGAGAACTTATTTATTGGTCAGGGTTTTTTTTTTTTTTTTTTTTTTTTTTTTTTTTTTTTTTTTTTTTTTTTTTTTTTTTTTTTTTTTTTTTTTTTTTTTTTTTTTTTTTTTTTTTTTTTTTTTTTTTTTTTTTTTTTTTTTTTTTTTTTTTTTTTTTTTTTTTTTTTTTTTTTTTTTTTTTTTTTTTTTTTTTTTTTTTTTTTTTTTTTTTTTTTTTTTTTTTTTTTTTTTTTTTTGTTTTTTTGTATTATTGTATATTAGTATTTTTATTGTTAATTGGTTTAATTTTTTATTGTTTTTAAAGCATTTTTTATAGCGTTCTTGGTAATTTTCATTTCATGTAGAATTGAAATAGCATCATGCCAGTGAATCGCTTTATATAAAGTCTACGATACGAACATAAACTATTTGAAGTGAAGTTGCCAAAATGTTTTAAAACGAATACATGTTTTATATTATTAGTCCTTCATCAATGTAATTGACATAACATATTTAGTAGACGATAAGACAAATTATCCTTTTGCCTTGTTATCAAATAAAATTGGTTTTGAATTTCAAACATTTTATGGGACTTTTTTTTTGTTGGAAACTATTAATTTGAATATTTTGTTATGTAAAAGATTCAGCGATTATGCAGAGGATTGGTTCTTCATCGTGGCTTAAATAATGGACAGAGTCAAGCATGCAGCCTCCATATACATCAGTGCATTTGACATGTCACAATTAAGCATAAAATACTGTAAGTTACATTAACATAACACAAAATACTATTTAAAATAACCTTTCACAAATTCACTCTCTGCTTTTCTTATTTTCTACTTTGATAGATGATTCATTCAATAAAAAAGGAATCAAGTGATTTCCGTAAAACGTAGATAATAAGCATTATCCGTGTTAATGTGATAATGCAGTTTATCTAGACAATTCCTTTATTATAAGGGAGATAAGTCGTAAGGTCTTATTACACGCAGCTCAGATTATGTCTCCCCTTTAGTTGAAAGGTCACAGTTAATGCTAGCGCTTACGTCATCAGTCGTCTACGTCATATATTCCGGACATTAGTTGAAAGGTCACAGTTAATGCTAGCGCTTACGTCATCAGTCGTCTACTTCATATATTCCGGAGCACATGGTCCAGTCTCTTTTTTATGTGAATCGAAGTTGAATCGTATCCAAAAAGGAGGAATATTTACCAAACAACAGCTTTATCAGATAAGTAAATTTGTCACAATTATTAGATAATTAAATTTCATGTACAAAATTGATATTTGATTTATAATATCCGGATAAATATAGTATAGTAAATAAATTATAATCATACCACGAGGTGTGGCCGTGGGAGAAGGTGACATCGGATAGAACAGTAACTGTATAAAGTGAAACAAAGTTCTACTCTTTATATCAGTGAATTTATCATTAAACACTGTATTCACTATTAAATTATATTTCCTAGGATGCCTAAGGAAAAGGCGAAATCTAACAGACAGGGAAACCCCGTTTCGTTTCCACGCCATTCCTCAAGGTAATTGGCAAGAGGTCAATCGGCGCGGCCAAGAAAACAAACTTGCAAAGCAACACCAACAGCTGAACAAAATGTGGCTGTCAATGCGGAAGCACATGTTCCTACTGATACTGAGCATGGTAATGGCAATTTACCCACAGGCTGTCAGGTAGCCGGCAATCCCGGTTTCTCAAAGGCTGTCTCCTTCTGAAACCTCCAATATCCAAGGTGAGTGTGACCCTATTTTGGTAATACCTACTCATGACCTGGATATTCATATTTCAGATGCGTTACAGGAAAAAATATGGAATAATCAGTATGTCGATCTTGCACAATTGTTGCACACAAAATTTCCATATGCCAGTTCACAAGATGACATGCAAATTTCTTTCATAAATAATAAGTTTGTATTAAAATCTAATAAAAAAAACTAAAACAAATTGATAATATTGATTCTTGGACTGATGCTTTTGTAAACTTCATTTTAGTTTACATTAAAAAACACCCATTAAGAGCAGCGGAACTTTTGAAATACATGGCAATTGTTCGAGGTGCTTCCGCATCTAATAAATTCCAGAAGTGTTACCAATATGATATTCAATTTCGCCTTCGCATGTCTATTAACTCTAGTCGTCTGTGGTCCAATATTGATGGTCATTTGTGGCTTACATTGAAGGTTCCATGATAACCGCTGTGTGAACACATCTGCGGATGTTTCTAAATTCAAAATTTTACTATTTCATGTTTAAATGTTGAATTCTGCTTAAGCCGGTGCTAGTGGGCGTGGACGGTAACTTGCACTTTCCAGTACCGTCCATGAACAGGCTCAATCAAACCGAGCCTGCAACATTTTCAATTTTGCCGTGCTGGGCTTTCTTTAGGGATTCTGTATTTATCTATTTTACATGCGGGTTGCTAGGCGATAACCCTTCCACTAGTGACGAGGTAAACAGAAATGCCTCTGCAGGTGCTTGTTATGATTACAATTTCAAAGGCGGATGTTATAAGATGTTTTGTCAGTAAAGGCACACCTGTATTGTATGCAAATTACCTCATCCATCCAATACTTGTGTAAACGCTCAGAAGTCGATGAGATTTAATAGCAGTGCGTCAGGGGCACAATTTGTTCCTCGACCGCGCTTTGTTCCGCTTGGCAGCACAAATGTGCCGCTTAGCGGAACAAATAATGTGTTTCAAACCCGGCATGTAAATACATTCTAAAGGCCTAGGGGTTTTAGACCAATTCCCCCGTCATATTCTCAGTCTGCCTTTCGACCCCAATTTATGGGCCAAAGGTAAAACGCCAATAATAATGGATAAAATTTCACCATTTCTGGAAAAATATACAAACGCAAATGATGCAAAATTTCTAATTCACGGTTTTCAGCATGGTTTCCCTCTTGGTTATGCAGGTCCAAGAATTTATAGGGACAGCAAAAATTTAAAGTCAGTCATTGATAATATTGACATTGCAAAACAAAAAATTTATGACGAGATAGATGCTGGGCGTATGTCGGGCCCCGACGCCACAAGACCTATATCAAATCTTAGATGTTCCCCGATCGGGCTAGTTCCAAAGAAATCCGGCGGATTTAGGTTAATTACACACATGTCACATCCTGCAAGCGATAGTGTTAATGACTATATTGACCCAATGTTAACATCTGTCAAATATTCGGATTTTGATAATGCTGTAAAAATGATAAAAAGGCTAGGTAAAGGTACATTAATGGAAAAAATGGATTTGAAAAGTGCTTTCAGAATTTTACCATGCTATCCTGGAGATTTTGACCTGTTAGGAATCATGCTGGATGGTCAATATTATATTGACAAATGCATGCCAATAGGCTGTTCTATTAGCTGTTCTACTTTCGAAAAAATTTCATCTTTTCTAAATTGCGAAATAAAACGCCGAACTGGTTACAATGATATAGATCATTATCTGATGATGATTTTATTTTCATGTCTGTTACAAATTCTGATAAATGTAAATTGAGCATGTTAAAGTTCGAATCAATGTGTACTGAATTTGGTGTACCAATCGCTTGTGATAAAACTGTCGGCCCCGTGACATGCTTACTTTACCTTGGTTTAGAGCTTGATTCAATTTCAATGGAAATACGCGTACCTCGGGACAAAGTTATGAATTTATTACATCAAATTAATGATGCATTGTTATTACGAAAAATAACGTTGCAACAATTACAATCATTGACTGGGTCATTGGCCTTTTGCGCAAAAGCAATGCCCTCAGCACGTGCATTTATCCGCCGGCTTTACTCAGCTATGTCTCAAGCAAAAAAGCCGTACCACAAAATCCGCTTGTCAAATGGTCTAAAAAGCGATTTAAATATGTGGAAAACTTTCTTGACTAATTATAATGGCACTTCGGTAATGTTAGACACTGAATGGAAATCGAATTCAGACAAACAGTTGTTTACTGACAGCGCAGGGCAGTCAAATTTGGGCTGTGGTATTTATTTTAATGGTCGTTGGGCTTTTATGCAATGGCCTCAACAATGGAAAGATACAGATATTCTTAAAGATATTACCTTTTTGGAAATAATACCAATAGCATTGGCTTGTTTTTTATGGTCCGAACATTTTCGATCTATGCGTATTCAGTTTAGCTGCGACAATATGGCAGTAGTACATATACTTAATTCAAAATCTTCGAAATCTAATAGAGTAATGGCACTTGTTAGACAAATAGTGTTATGGTCTCTGAAATTTGATTTCCAATTAAATGCTGTACATATCAGTGGTGTAAACAATAACATTGTTGACTCAATTTCACGAATGCAGTGGAAGACGTTCCGTATGTTAGCACCGGAAGCGGAAGTTCACCCAACACCAATCCCGAGGGACTTCATGACGTACTTGCCGATGAAATAGCAGTTTTACTCAATTCCTCGGTTTCGGAAAAAACGAAACAAATTTATAACCAAGCTATAAATGCATTCAAGAACTTTCGCTGTTTGCATGAACTACCGGATGTGTGGCCCCCACCGGTGGATCATATGGTTAATTTTATAGGTTATCTCTCACTCAAAAAGTTCGCATTTGCTACAGTTAACTCCTATTTATCCGGCATTTCGTTTTTCTTAAAGATGAATGATATGCCGGATAATACACAATCATTTATAGTAAAAAAGATGTTATGTGGAATGCGACGCATCCGATCAAAAAAGGATTTGCGCGTTCCAATAACGTTACAGGTGCTTCTTCGCATCCCAATGGCTTTACAGAAAGTTGCATATTCAAACTATGAATCAAATTGTATACATAACGGCCTTTGTGCATTTTTTGGTTTTCTGCGGGTAGGCGAAATAGCCGTTGACACAAAGAAATCAGACACCAATAGAGTTGTTCAACTGGGAGACCTTAGATTTTCGGAGAACGAATGTTTTTTAACGATACGATTTTCCAAAACCGATCAGTTTGGGTCGTCGGTAACACTGACATTTTGTATATAACATTACCCTGAGATATGTCCCTATAGACTACTTCGCCATTACATTACTTTACGCCCTCAAATAGACGGTCCTCTATTTTGCCATTTCAGTGGGCAACCAATGACTAAATATCAGTTCCGTTTCATGCTTCGCAAATGTTTAAATTTCATCAACATTGACTCAAATATAAAAAGCCATTCATTTCGTATTGGCGCGGCTACCACAGCTTCTCAATTAAATATCTCTGACGATATTATAATGCAAATGGGTAGGTGGTCTTCGAAATCCAAGGCTTATAAGAGATACATTAGGTTAGATAAGATAATTCCATAATAATTTTATTTTGAGATAACGTTGGCCAGCCTTGTCAAAATATTTGGATCGTAGGGTCTTCAATCATTAAGAGAGCAGAGGCACATGCTTAAACGAGGCCGATGGGACGTCACCTTGGTCTTCAGCGACGCGGTGTTACTGTATTTTGGGCTGGCCATCCGGGCTTACATTATAGGCAACTTTACAATATTATTTACTCAATGTCTTTTTGTTTGCCACCACCAAGTTTTATTGTTTTACACTTTGGTGGCAATGATATAGGTCTAGAACCATGTGGTGTTTTAAGACACCATTTTAAAGAAGTTATTTCTCAGATAATGAGAATTTTGCCTAGGGCCTGTATTGTTTGGTCCTCTATATTATCTCGTTTTGTCTGGAGGTACTCCGAAAATAATAAAGCTATGGATGAAAATCGGAAAAGAATAAATAGAGCATTGATATATTTTCTAGCCCAGCTTGGTCATAAGTGTATAAAACATCCAGATTTTCAAGATAAAATGCCAGCATTATTTTCTGATGATGGTGTACATTTGTCTTATATTGGAAATGATATATTTTTAAACACAATTCAAGGTGCTATCGAAACATTTTTGACTAATAATGCAAACGTATATCCAATTGACGGAATAACTAAAAGCCTGACAGCGGCGAAAAATTAAATTTGGCGTGAGCACTGCGTACTCATTGGCAGAATTTTTCGACGCAGTGTTTTATTAACTAAAAATAATTCAATTTAAGTTAAAGAAAGATATAAAACATTGTGTTAAATACTGTTTGTGATTGAACCCCAACAGTTAGATCTAGCAGTAATCATTAATTCGGCGATTGGTCATTCAATCTCCCATTGGACTTGTTATGTACGAGTCGAACTTGAAATTGATGTGTTGATTTATGTATGATGAACTGAATGATAAACAATGACTTGTGAATGAAAAACAGTGATAAATGATGGTTTAATAATGATTATACAATCAATAACAAAGTGGCTTGGTCTATTCCCCAGCACTATTATTTTCCTTTGCATGTTTCAATTTTTTTTTCATGAATTCGATATCGTCGACTGTCAGGCAATTATTCCACCAATAAATTTTAATGATAATGTATTTTTGTTTTGATTTATTAGAATTTGTCATTGATAAATTACAAAATATCCCTTTTTTTTAATCGAATTGTTAATGCTTGTGACAAAAATAGTTTAATAAGTATGGTTGTAATCATCTTCCTCTTATGACTAAAACATCTTCGATGTTGACAGAAAAAAAAACTATATGATTTTATCCTATTTAACAATGAATCATAAGGCTAATTAACAACGGATCAATATATTACAGGGTTAAAGATTTTATTTTCACAAATGTTCATTGAATTGGATTATAATGGATATTAAGTAAACCAGTAAAATGAAGATATTTAAGTTACAAACAAGTATATGTAGAATGTGTTATGACTTCAAAATAGTTTTTTTTTGCTATTTTGTTATGCATATTCAGCGGAATGAAATGTAAACCGAATGAATTTTTTTATCTTTATGACAATTATTAATATTATAAATTAAATTGATCATAATGATAATTAGGGAAATAATTAGTCTCAAATATCTGAAGCTTATTGGGTACGCTACACGGACTTAAATTACTTGAATAAAAGTCCTCGCTTAATGTAAACACCCTACTTAAAAGCAGTACATGTATAATATTTGACCAATTTATTTATTTTATTCTGTTTGACCTGATATTGAACGCTTAAAGAGCAACAAAACAAGGCAAAGCATAGCGGCCTCGTTATTCCCCTCAATTGGCATTATCCATTTTAATAACTTTTTATTTCACAAACATGACGTTGACCATTTGGTTATTTAGTTACATTGCTTTATATCAAGATAATTTTGATGGGTATGTTGATTTAATAGTTGTCACAATAGTATTATTCTTACCGATTAATTTCGGTCCAAAAAAGATTTTCCACTTGCAACTGTTTATTAAAAAGAACACGGAAACGATTTATTATCATATTGTTTGACAAATATACTTAAAACTTCAATCAGAGCAACAGATAACGTGCGTATTTGCGTATTTATTCAATTAATTTTATAAAATACACAATTGATTTTTTAAGAATGCGTATCAAAACCCATAAAAAAATAAAATACGCAATTGACTTAAAAACCCGTGCGTATTGTCATTTTCATCACCGCAAAATTAATCTGTCGTACGCTCCTAGTTTTGGACAAGTTATATCGATATGCATGCTATCCGAATAATCAATATTCCCGAATAAATGCTTACTAATCAACGGTCTCCGGTCTTCGAGGGTCACGGTCTCCAAAGACCGACTTAGTCATATCAATAAAGCATGACACTGTCGATTTGTCTACTCAGGTCGACAGTCTTTACAGACGGGCAGAGACCGTTGATTTTGCGGAGACCGTTAATAAGTAGGCCCCATCTGTATCAAAGCAATATGGCGTCGTACAAAAAGGTATGATTTGAAACATAACAATCGTAAATAATCAAAAATCAGTCAGAAAACGAACTTGTTAAAAATATTATGAAATATAACATGAGCATTTTATATAAAAAATAAAACAATTGTGAAAAGTTCTAGTAAATTGTTAATCCTATTTTCTTTTTAAAACAGTTTAAATTTTATTGATATTGAAACCATAAAATTCATATCTTCATAATTGAATACCCAATTGATATTGAAATCATAGGGTATCTAGTTTTGGAATACCCAATTAAATGGAGCCAATACCCAATTACAAAGGAAATGATGGAGTAATACCCAATTCACTTTTAAAGCTTATCTGTTGCTCTGTTAAATTAATAGAAAGGGCATCGAATCACGAGGCTTTCTTATTTGTGCGAGAGGGCGTAGAATGCTTGTTGATTAAATGTTTTTTTTCTTGGGTTTTACTTATTGTGACGACAGAGGATAATCACAGAAAAGTCATATTAAGATGCTTGTACATTGGTTACTTTTGTATGGGGTTTCTGAGTGTGACGAAAGAGAACATGTTTTTTTTT